GGGAGGCATGGGTTCAGCAAGTAGTCGACCAGTTATCTTCCCTGACAGCACCGCCTACCTTTCACAGCCGCTCATGAGGCAGGTTTTATTTTGAGAAATGGGATTACAGAATACGGAATGCTACCTATATGACTGGATTGTACTTGAATAATTCAGCTTATACTTTGCAGAGGGGTTAACCCAAATTTCAAAACAGGCAGAAGTTAAATAGAGCATGGTAGAAATGATCCCCTCACCTGGTGAGTCAAACTGAGCCAGAAACTTGGGGTTAGACCCTTGAGTTGACAACTTCTCTCTTCTGCTACCGTCTGATTTCATGCCAGGGCCTCCTCCCACTGTTTAAACTCTGTCCAAAGCCACAGAACAAAGAGTCCTGGTTGATAAAGCCCAAAATTATGAAACCCCCAGAGCGCGGAGGAGAGGAGAGAAAAGCAAAACTCTGTACCCTCAGATGTTGGTCAAGGGGTACAAAGTTTCAGGTATGCAAGATGAAAAAATTCTGGAGGTTTAATGTACAGCAATGTAATACAGTTAACAGTACTGTAGTGTACACTTGAAATATGCTGAGAAGATAGATCTTCAGTGTTCTCACCTCACACACAGAGAAAATGGTAACTACGTGAGGTGCTGAATATGTTAATTAGCTAGATTGTGATGATTTCACAATGTATACCTATATCCAGTGTACACCTTAAATATATGTAGCCTTAACTGTCAATTATACTTCAATAAAGCTGGAAAAATATAATATTAAATAAAAAGAAAAGCTGCAGAGTGATTTTTAAAAGTATAAATAGAGGGAACATAAAAGTATCAGAGGACATACAGCTTCTTGGGATTTCTTAAGGTTTCTTGTCATCCAGTCAGATCAATACATTCAACTTATTTATTCAACAGATATTTATTAGGCTCCTCCCAGATGCCTCATCTGGCGAACAGGCACCTTGAGTAAGTCACCATCCGTGACTTCAAGGAGCCTAGTGGCGGGGTGAGGGTGGGGGGTGAGGTAAGGAGATAATGCTAAAATAAGGATCACCACAGGCTGCCGAGGAAGCAAGGTGGGGTGCCCAGCCCCCCTGTTGCATTTGGAAAGCCTGTACAGAGGAAGGGAAAGTTGGGGGTTTCCTGCAGGAAGAATGGGAGCGGTCAGTAGAAGAGTTGGGGACACACTGTCCTCGAATGTCCAGTAAGAAAGCATGCGAGTCCCGAGGCTGCGTGAAGCTCCATGTGACCAGGCTTGGAGAGGGAGTGTCTGGGGCAGGCCTTGCGGTGGAGCTGGGGGAGACACCCTGGCCCTGGTGCACCAGACCCTGGCAGAGACCCTGGAATCCACCTGGAAGCACAGGGAGCTATGCTGGTTTCTAGTAGGGAAACAGCATTACCAGATACAAAATCAGAGGCAAAGAGCACTAGTGAGAGAAATGAATGAGAGGAAAGACCAGTCTGTATATTTTTAATGGTAAATTAAAATGAAACTATCTCAAAGAGTGGAACTCCTGGCGGAGATCTGTTGAGCAAGCCGTCTTCCTTATACATCTCTGAGAAAATGAGGACCTGGTTTGGAACTTTGGGGCCAATTGAATTGAAGTGTTTTTGTATAGTTAGCTTAAATAACCAAATGATGAAATCAATCCTCCAAATTGTCAGCAGAGCAGCTGTTCAGAAAGCTCTTGTTAGTCATTGACCTTATGTTTAATATGATTTCCTAGAGCATGGATGGTCAGATTGAATAAAGTACCACTGCAAAGCCCTCCCCACCTGGGCAAGCTCCCTGCTATGCAAGACCCAAGGAAAAGAGAGTGGTGGGCGGAGCACAAAAGCCCTTTCCCTCCTGCCCCCCAACCTCCAGGGAAGAAGGAAAGAAGACCACCAGCCACAGGCGCCCTTAGAGGAGAAAGTGTCTGGACTGCCAGCCGCTCGGCCTCTTTCCTAATCATAGTGGAGGGAGTAAATAAGAAAACGTTCATGACCTGAAACATCGTCCTTTGTTTTTCAAGAATAACTGAGGCTCCTTATCCAACCTGTATCCTTCCTGGAAGGTGGCTTCACGTGTGACCTTTCATATGACCTGGATTTATTGCTCATGTCACTGGAGGTGGGATGGGATATGATGGACTAGCTAAGAGGGATGGAGGGTTGGGAGAAATAGAGGGTAGATGTGGAGACTTCTTCTTAGAATAGAGATCCAGCATCTATGGTGCTGAAAAGTCTCCCCTTGGAAATAGAAAGCCATGTATACAATTAAAAAGAATCCTCTATATCTATTTGTCTGTCTGTCTGTCTGTCACCTACCTGTCTGTCATCTCTATCTTCCCACCCCCTTATCATATATATCCTGCCTATATAGTACTTCCTCTGCTTACTGTGAAAAGCACACAGGTAGGAGAGTTAAAATAACAATAAAGACGTTCACACATCATATAGTGCAGGGGGAGGGGCTCATTGCACTAACAGCCTGGAAAGAGTAGTTCTGGCAATTGAATATTTAATTTAGCTTAAGCTTCTGGCAGCCAAGGCAAAATAAGTTGCTATTGTTGGTGAAAAGAAGTGCACTGTTACGTCAAAATGAGAAAATGGCCCCAGTACTGAACCCTAAAATGTTATTCTTCTGTGTAAGAGAGAACCCGCAGCAAAACGTGCAGTGTCTCGCGCAGCAATTCCGCGGAAGATGCGGGACTGTTCCTCCATCTGAGCCTTGCCACAGCAGAGTTGGTCGGAAAAGCGGCAGCCTTTCACACAAAGGACCTGAAGGCCACAACCTGCCTCACCCATTCGTCTACTGAATAGGAAAAAATTGAACACACTGCCAAAATAAAACAAAACAAAAGAGCAACACCCGTCCAGTTCTGAGCTTGTGTAGTCCCATGGCCTGTCCAGCTAGGATTGTGTGCTGCAGCTCTGGGTTGTGGCTCACACTGTCACCTCTGAGTTAGGATTCTTCCCATTGCACAAACAAAACAGACAAACAGAGCTCAGAAATCTCAACCAAAGTGCCTTCAACAAACGAGATAATCTGTTGGCTCACGAAACTGAAAAACCCACCAGTATCCTGGGTCCGAGCCGCAGTCTGACCGAGGAGTCGCAGCCCGCCCGGGCTCTGGCTCCGCGGCTGATTCCCTTGGCCGCCGTCCTCCTAGCGCCGCTATCTTTTTCGTGCAGTTAGCATTTCTCACAACAGCAAATACTTCTGTTGCAGCTCCAGGGCTGCTCACATTTCAAAATTCTATGCTCTCAAATTCAGAGGAAGGAAACAAAATTCTTCTCCAAACACTGAAGTTTAAACAACTAACTATGGTTAAGAAGCTAATGTCAAAACACAATGTTGAGTAAGTTAAGCCAGGTACAAAAGAATAGATATGAAGTTCATATGAAATTCTAGAACAGGTTAATTATAACCTACTGTGATAGAAATCAGAACAGGGGTGCCTTCGGGAGAGGGGAATTGACTGTACAGGGGCACAAGGAACGTTCTGGGGTGAGAAACGCTCTATAGCTACGTGAATAGTGATACCATTTACTAAAATGAGGCAGGAAATGACGAAGGAGGTTTGGGTGAGAGGGGAGAGGCCGGGAAACCAAGACTTTGGTTTTGAACTTGATACGTCTGTCAGACATGAGCATGGGGCAGTCAGGTAGGCGAGTAGATGCATAAGGGTGGCGTTTAAGGACAGGTGAGGTGCAGATAGAAATTTAAAGTTATGTGGCTGGTGAAGACCTCCCGAGGAGTGAGGGTCGATAGGGCAGGCAAGAGGACAGAAGCTTGGGGCGGGCTGTGGGTGTTTCCAGAAGAGCTAGGATTCTGTAGGAATGAGGAAGTCCTGGGAGCAGCAACGAGGAGAAAGAAGGGTCCCGTCCCTCCTCCAGACCATGTACTATGTAGCATGTGGGGAAGAGTGGCCACCTCTTAAGGGGACCACAGGGGATAAGTGTGATCAGGGACTCAGCCAAGTTTGGCAGCGGCAAAATCCTCTGCGTCGTAAAACTCTTTTCTAAACAGTTCTCTGACTTTCTCGCTCTAACTAAAACTTAGCTGTCCTCAGCACATCGGGCGGGGTTCCGGTAGAGCACGGTCGTAAGGGAATGTTCAAAGAAACTGAGGAGTCACGGGATTTTGCTCCTGACAGACTGTGTGTGCCAAGGAGTGAGTGGAAAGGTTGGCGGGGCTGGGAAGAGGTGGGCGAATGACCGAATGCCCAAATGCTGCGATGTACGGTGTAGAAGGAAGTCAAAGAAATCGAGGACTAAGGGATGACCTGGGAGCCTTGGCTGTCTGGTGGTAGAAGCATGCTGAGACTAGCTGGGGGCCTTTCAGGGGTACATGAGTAATTTAGTCCTCATTGGTGCTTCTTCTTGGCACCCAGCAGTCTGGGGTGATGAATGAAGTAGTGTGACCCCAAAGAGCAGTGGTCTTCCCAGGACCAGAGTTCTGGGACCTTCCTTAAACCCCACCGGGGCAGGCAGTCTCACCAGGAACCTGGGCCCGCTTCGGTCACACCCCTGAACCAATCACCGTGGCTGGGGAAATGGGATTGCAGTGACCACGGATGCCTGAATCAGGAAGGGGTATTGGCTTGTGTTTGTGTGTTTGTGTGCGCCTGACACTGGGGCTAAGGGAAGAAGTTACTGAGAAAAGAAAGGATGGTTACTGAATGGCCAAACCGAGCCATGCTCATCAGAGCCCGTCACCCAGCAGCCAGCAAACATAATACAGATGGCAGAGTAAACCGGAGTAGATGGATTCATATGAACATATCCCCACTCTAGGAAAATAGTAGGCAGCATTATATTTAGTGATGAAAAAATCACGCAATTTGGCTGGCAGTATCATATTCTAATTCGATCAAAGAGGAAATTGTTTTGTATGTTTAAGCACTTATCCATTGCAGAGTCCAGAACATTTAATGATGTGTTATCTCAATTTTTCTAATAACTGTCCTCAAATATGATTACCCATAAGTACATGGGTGGATTTGTAAGACATTTCTTTTTTTTCCCCACAGGAAGAAATGAAAAGATTGCAGAATCCTTTAGAACAAGTTAATGATGGAAAATATTTACTTGAAAAGTAAGTAAAAAAATACTAAAGGAAATTCAATTACTTGCAAGGTTGGAAATCTTGCATGAAATTAAAAAAAACAAACAAAAAACCTACCAGGCAGGGCAAAAATAAGTAAGTAATTTGACTATTTCTTATGTTATCATTGTGGTCAGGACCCAGATATGTGTCTCATTTGAGTTATAGTCAGATAGATTTATGACTAATTGAGCTATAATACACAAGCTATACTGATTAACAGAATAATATGATACCCGGAGATATTTCTGGTGGTATGTTTGAGGACTTGAAACTTAACCCTGCTCTGTCTTTGGCTTTTAATCAGGATGTGTATAGAAGGCAATCATAAATTTGCTAAAAGCACAAGGGTTACACAAAAACTAATAGAATGAACATTCAAAGTAATACTGCAGAAGGGAACAAAACTGAACTGAAAAAAAACAAACGAGAAAGATGAAATTGAACAAAGATAAAAGTAAAGTCTCCTATTTAGTCTTTTTTTTTAACTGTAAAATTAGAACATGAGAGAGATATTTTCTGATTTCAATTTGAGGGTAAATGTTTAGAGATTTTATCTGATGTTAACATGAGACCATGATTTTATATGGCTTCTAAAAATATTACCACAATATTAAACTGATTCGTAGTCAGGCGTTGTCAAGATAAAAGAAGAAAAAATTAGCTATCATTTACTGAGTATTTACAGTGTACTCTCTATTAGTGAATGCTTACAGATGCTTCCTCCTGGAACTCTGTTCACAGCCTTGTAATACAGGCATTATTATTTCCATTTTACAGACAAGGAAGGAGGCTCAGAGAGCTTTCGGCACTTGTGTAAGCGTGCTCAGCTAAGAGTGGTGAGGAAGGGTGGGACTCAAACCCAGGCCTGAATGCCACCAAAGCCCCTGCTCTCAATCACTAAGTCCGAATGTCAAGCCCGTGTGGGTATCACACTTGGCTCTGGGCACCACTTTTTTTTTTTTAATTGTGGCCTTCTTTCTCTCTGTATAAAAAATGTTTTTCTTGATTTCAGAGAGAGGAAGGGAGAGGGAGAGAGAGATAGAAACACGGATAAGCCGCCTCCTGCACGCCCCTTACTGGGGATCGAGCAGGCAACCTGGGCATGTGCCCTCACCAGGAATCGAACCCATGACCTCTCTTGTGCATGGGTTGACGCTCAACCATTGAGCCACACTGGCTGGGCTGGGCACCACATTTTAAAGTCACATTGACATCCCCAAGAGTACCAGAGGAGGCCAATTAAAACTGTGAGGACTCTGAAGTTATGCGAAACTACTACAAAGAGCTGAGGATGTGCAGCTGGAGAAAAGCAATCTTAGAGGGGACATAATGGCTGTCCTTAGACATTTGAAGGGATTTTCCTTTAAAGGAAGGGCTAACCTGCTCTTCTTGCTCTAGAAAGAAGAGTGAGGATCAGTGAGAAGGATTTATGGAGAAACAGGTTTGTGACTCAGAAAAAAAATAGCTTTTGTAAAAATTCAGCCCGCCCAGCAGAATGGACTTCTCTGTTAAAGAGCGAGCTGGTAGAGACTGCGAGGGCCCAAGAAGGGTGGAAATGACCGTCCACCTGAGATGCTGTTGAAGACATTCCTGGAAATGGAAAACCCCAGAGATGTCATTCCTCTTTCTGCTTTTTCCTAGCTTTGTGGGTCTGGAGAAATTATTTCACCACCCTGAGCCCCGCTTTCCCCACCTTTAAAAATGAAAATAACAGTGCCTTGGCAATCTATTGAGAGCTTTAACTGAGACACCCATGACAAGAGTATCAATTTTTCCTTGTTATGTCTGTTCTCGTTAATAAGCCCAAATAAGAATAAAATAGTTCAGTTATTCTGCCCCTTCTCACTACCACCATCAGTAGCTGTGTGTAAGCAATAATAACTGAAGAGTGTTTTGCTGAACTAGAAATAAGATTTTTCTTCTGTGGAGATTAGTGTTGTAATGGCATAAGATCAGTAGTCCTTCACCCTGGCCGCACTTAGAATCACCCTGGGAGTTTAATACAAATGCCCCGGCGTAAGCCCCACCCCTGACAGATTGAGTCTGACTCTCTGGGGTGAGGTCCTGGGATCAGTATTTCTTAAAAGCTTCCTGCGTGTGATTCTAATAAGGAGCTGGGGTTGAGAACCGGTGGTCTAGATGCATTTTAGATTCTGTTTGGTCATTCGATAATCTCATGCAGCTTAATTCTCGGAGGACACACTCTCTCTGTGATGTTCAGCCCATTTATCTATTAAATCTGGCTATGCTGGTTTTTCATTATTGATTTTAATGTAAGAAGTGAACTCCAAATGTTTTTTTCCTGCTAATTGACCACAACTCTATCTTAAACCTCTCACTAACACCAGCGTGGACCTCGCCCTTCACCCTGCTCTCAGGAAGATACGTGAAATAAATGCCATATATGGGGGCTTCTGCCTCGTCTCCCACCACTGTTCTTTCCCCCTCATTATCTAGAGGCCTGCAAGTGGCCAGTCTGCTCTGTATGCTTATTTTTCCCGGTCATGATTGAGGGATTCCAGGGGTGGGAGTTAAAGTTTCCCCCAAAGCACGCAGGCCTGTGGGGTAAGCTCCCCTTTCATGCTTGGCCCGGACGGAGGGAAAGCAAAAGTTGCTGCCTGCCCTGACAACTAGACCCATTTGCCTGGAATTCTGGGGACTTCCCTGGATTGCTTTAGGGCAGGGCTGTGTCCTTGAAAGCCGTCAAATGTGATTGAAAAATTGGTGTACTTTGAGTGAGCCGATTAAGCATTTCATTAGAGCTGTAGCTGACTTAGGCGCTGATGTAAATCATCTCAGCTACTTGAAATGACCGTAAGTTAACCGTAGTGGTGTCATAGCGCTTCGTGGGCTATTCCCACTTGGAACATTACGTTTATTCTGAATGCTCGACAGGGTTTTGTGGTAGCAGTCAGTGTGGCGGGCGGGGCAGCCAGCTCCGTTCCACTCAAGGCCATGTACAGGGCCAACTGAGTGCATTTGTGTACACACACACCCCCCCCGAAGCCAATAAACAGAGAAGAGCAATTAATTGAGACTGCTTATGACTCTTGCTTTTGACAATCATTTATTAACTTATGTGAGACCTTAGGCTGGCAGCTATTTTTTAATAAATATTGGATCAGGCTGGGTCTTTGGTGCAAAGTGTGTGATCGCGGGTTGGATGTTCTCCTGACATATAATCATGTCATTACCCTCAAGCAATTATTGATGCAGTGCCCTAAAGTTATCCAATTTAAGCCTACAGGTATCCGTAGTTTATAGTTTGTTGAGCATGTATAAATTATAGCCCCAAATTAGCAAATTTGTTAATATTATAAAAAAGTGTTCTCTTTATGAAAACTTGAGCTTTGTCTCTGATGCTGTATATCTAAAGGTCCCACAACACCTCGCCTATATCTCTATTGCTCAGTTTGATAATTGTTATTTAGGGGTTTAATTTACAAAATCTTAAAGTATCCTTGTTATAAGGCTGTTGTTACCACAAGAACATAGAGTTATAAAAATGAGACTTTACATGCCCACCAGCCCTTAATTAGATCCCTTGAATAACATCCATCACATTTATAAATACTTAATATTCATCGTCTAGATTATGAAACCATCAGAACAGGGACCGTGTCTAGTGCTTTCACCATTGTATCCCCCGTGCTTTATATCATTCCTGGCACATAGAATATATTCAGTATACCTGTGAGTGAATAGGATAAATTAATAATGGACCCTGAATACCTACTGCACAGAGCAAACAAGAGTGTTTTTTCCCTTGTCCCTCAGCTTCCCAGCTGGGTAATTACAAAGCTATCTTGGGCTGATGGCACCACCTCGTGGCCATGAATAAATGTATCCGATCCACTGGATTATTCCTTTCCAAAGAGGGGGAGCGGGGTTGGAGGTGATCAGTGGGGTGGAAAGGGGAACATCTGTAATACTTTCAACAATAAAGATAAATTTTTAAAAATAAATAAAGAAGGGGAGATAAGTGCATTATCCTAATAATGCCTCCAGCACAATGTTTTTTCATTTCTTTCCTTCACTGTCACTATAATCGTGGTCCTCATTATCTGGCCATTTTGGATACCCTCCTAGATAGTTTCCTTCCTTCTTGCTCACTCCCACTGCAAACCATCTTTAAGTCTCCCATTCATCACGTTGTCCTGCCTCAAATGCCTTATGTTTTCCTGAAGCGATGATTTCACATTGTAGATCACAATCTACTGATGGTTTGTTAAATCAATCTGATGGGTAACCACTGGCTTTTTAAAATACCTGAAATATAATAAAAAATATCAGAGAACAGTATATGTCGTTGGGGAAATAGTGTTTCTTGAAACTTTTGTTTCAGTTTTAAACACACACACACACAAACACACACAAACACACGTACGCTTGCATGCATGTGTATTGCAGTGGGCCGTCAAATACTTTACTTATGAAAACCACAGACAGGAGAATTAAGTGTAATAAGTTTGATATTAAAATCCTCCAAGCAGTACTTTGTGGTAGTGGGACTTGAGTTTTAATGTGGTTTCTTCTGAGTTTAACATAATCTCTCTGAACTTCAAATTTTTCAGCTGTACACTAGGGAAAAATAATTGATAGAGGCTCCTGTGAGAATTAAATCATACGTGTAAAATGTCTGTGACAGTATTTTGTACACATTATGTAGCCAATGTCTATTAGTTTTTTGCTTATCCAAATGTATTTCTTTTATACTCCTACTTTTATCTTCTACTTCCATCAAACAGCTCTCTTTAGGGTATAAAAACAGCTGAATTTTTCACCTCTACTCCTTTATTTTAATATCTTCCTCATATGTATTACCTTTCACATCGCTATTTACCTAATTCCTGTCTATTCTTTAAAACCCTGCCCAAGTGGCACCTTTGCCATGAAGCTTCCTTGACCATTGGGGCACCCGGGGATTGTCTTATAAGTTCACTAGGAGCAGTCACGATGTACCTATAGTCCTCTGCCTTCCTCCAGGGCAGAGATTCATGCTTTGTTCATCGTGGGAGCTTTGGAGAAGCTCACAAGATAAAAAGAGGAAAGATTCAATGGCAGTGGCACCTTTGGGGATGAAGGAGATCCTCTCTACAAGCTACTAGTTGGACATTGGCATGGGGTTTATAACATTCTTTTTATACTTTTCTCTCTTGAAATGGCTCAGTATTCTGCTTTCTTCACGTAAGGGAAATTATTTTCATGCCTTATATATGAATGTTGAGCTGAGTGGTAGAAATTAAAAAAAAACAGAAAGGTAACAGGCAAAACAGCATTTTATTTCTATAGTGTGGTTACTTACCCATCATCCATCAATAGGAACTTTTGAGACTTTGTTAATAAATTTAAAAAGTTTGAATATATATCTGCTTTTAAAAATAAATATAAATTGGCAGTATTACTGCTATAAATGTTAACCTTCTGGATTAAGCTATATGGAGACATTATTTCTGTTTTCAGTCACCAGTTGGCCATGGATGTGGAGAATAATATTGAAAAATATCCCCTCAATCTACAGCCCTTGGAATCGAAGGTGAAAATGTAAGTTATTTCAAAGTTTCCATTAAAGCACTAGTTTTAAAGTTCTTGTTTTATTCGCTTCTGAGCTACTCTGGAGTTTTGTGGTACAAGACTTACACATTTATTTATTTCACATTTATGTGCTACAAATGATTTCCTCCCTGGGCTAAGCAGGAACAATGCTGTTTTGAGCACACAGCACCATCTACTGGGTAGTGTAGGGAATTATTTGATTGTGATCACTTTGTTTCTTGGTTTTCCTCTTTCAGGCTGAGTGCTGTTCTTCAACTGCCACTAGCATTTTCCACTGTCTTTCATCTTAGTGACCTGGTTAGTTCCATCTTGGAACAACATGGTTATTTCCACCTCAGGGCATTTCTTTCTCTCTCTCTCTCTCTCTCTCTCTCTCTCTCTCTCTCTCTCACACACACACCCTTTCAACTCTCTGCCTTCTTCCTATTTCCATTCCAGTTCTCATCTAAATATTCTGGAAAAATATATCTTGTCTTTCTCGCTTTCTATCCTTTTATTTTTTTGTTCTCTCTTACTAAGGCTAAATATGAGTCCCCTTTCCCCACTATATGTGACTATTGCGTTAAAATTGTGCTAAAAACACCTCAAAATTAACAAAAATGAAACATNTTACTAAGGCTAAATATGAGTCCCCTTTCCCCACTATATGTGACTATTGCATTAAAATTGTGCTAAAAACACCTCAAAATTAACAAAAATGAAAAACAAAGTGAGACAGGCATATTATAGAACAAAATGACAACCTTTTAAAACCATTTTTAAGTAGAGAAGGGGCCTGTCATAATCACCTTAGACGCAATTTTAAGCCATTCCTGCCTGCTCTCTGTGCTCCTTTCCCATTTCGATTTTCCTTCAGGGGTACATATAAGAATTGCCACTGAGGATGTATACAATACACACACACACACACACACACACACACACACTCAGCTTAACACTCTGAGAAGCATGTATCTGAGAAATGAAGTACACCTGAGCTTGGCCAGGATCACTGATCATTTGCAAAAAGCCCAGAGGAATCTTTAGAGAAGAAGCCACCCAAAGAAGGGAGCCCTGCAGTGTCCAACTTCGAAGGACAATAAGCCCTTGCTGGGTTTAGGAGTTGAGACAGAAACGATGCAGATATATAATATCCTGCTGGATTAAAGCAAATACTAATGCACACACCTCACTATACATCTACATGAACCTTGGTCATCCGTAGAAAGCTTGCCCCTGAGCGAGCACATAGGGCTACCTCTCACGGTGAAGCTCGCACGTGGCGTCTGAACCAGTGGGGGCCCCCAGGAAGCTCGGTGTAGACCCTTCCTAAATGAGTAATGAGTCAGCTACCAAAGCGCTTCGTGTGCAGGGTGTTAGTTTCCAACCTCAGGAATTACTCTCTTACCATAATGTCCTCTTGAATGAAGAAGTGCTGGGTCAGAACTTAGAGTGCTTCGCTTGAAGGCTGAAAGGAAGTCAGGAAGCGTCCCTGCTGTTTCCTAGTTTCCCCATCTCTAATAGGCAGAGGCAGAGGGGTAGGTGCCGGGGAGGGACACGCAAAGAAGCCTCTGTGCCCGAGGTTCTAGCCCGCTCAGAAAGTCTGGGATTTTATGTGTAGCTGCTTTGATGGAGGAGTCTCAGCTCAGTGAGGTGCAAACTGAATGGCTTTATCTCTTCTAATAACTCTGGACCCCATTTCCACTCCTTGGACAGGGAAGAGGGAGAGGAAACATAATCTTGCCCCATAAAGGACTCTGAGTCCCCTTGGAGAGTTTAGTCCAGCTCAGTGACTCTTGTCTAATCTGGTTATTAAATTCTTAACTGTCATGACAGGTTAAATACCTCCCCTCCACACACATCAGACCTTTCCTACAGCTGTGCAGCCTGCGCCCCTCTCCCTTCCTCCTCTCCCCTCTCCCTTCCTCCTCTCCCCTCTCCCCTTCCTCCTCTCCCCTCTCCCTTCCTCCTCTCCCCTCTCCCTTCCTCCTCTCCCCTCTCCCCTTCCCCCTCTCCTCTCCCTCTTCTCCCTGTCTGCCCTCCCTCCTCTCCTCCCGTCTTGATGTTAACTCTCTCACCACTCATTTGCTAAACACCAAGGCTGCCCCGGTGTTCTCATTGATAGTGAACACTTGATCTCCCAGACAGTTGTTTCCTTTAAAATAACTCTAAGGAGCTTTTTTTTTTTTTTTTTT